ATTTATTTTTTTTATTTTATGTATTGTGTATGTACTGTATATTGCAGGTATATCTTTATTAATTAAAATAAATATTTTTAATGATTTGTGTAATTTATCGATGCACATCTTCCATTTCGACAGTCACACAAATATGAGTTGCTTTGTCGCTCATAACTATAAAACTTTAAATGCAAACAGACTTTGTCTCCTAATATTAATAAAATTACTGTTTATAACCAGATGACAAAACCAGATTTTCTTTGAGTCAGTATGAAATATCCTAAGTGGTGCTTTTATGTGTTTATATATACATTTATTGTTGGTCGAACGCCTCACCATCAAAAGAGAATTAATTCCTGGATGCTTCTCCACCGATGTTTAGCCATTCCACCGTTTAATGCATGCAGGCTGTTATGATGATGTTTATCGTTACGTTATGTTTGCATTTATTGTTTACTATTCTCCAGGGATTAAACATATTTCCGATGACTCTGAACTTTCTTTGGAAGGATGTCCATTAACTCTGAATCTGTGTATTAAACTCAAACTCGTTTTGTTTATCACTGACAGAACTTGTGAAATGACTATCTGACCATTTGCTGTACACTGTTGAGTTAATGATATTATAATGTATTTTTATCATTTTTATTTGTTGGCAGATTTGTATTTTATATTCTTTTTTTTTATGAGTTCAAGATAATGTGGAACAAATGAAATTGCATATGAAAACCCTTTACTTGCAATACAAACTGATAAAGTTGTTATTGAAAATACTCATGTAAATATAATTATGAACACAAATTACTCTACATCAGCCTGATTTTCTGATGGCCATCTGTTCCACATGAACAGACTTCGCTTTTGCCCAAATCCTTGTACATAAATGTCAATAAACTATCACTTTCTAGTGGGTTGTATTTATTATGTTGATTCATATACTGTAACACTAGAGGGCATCACAAGAACCTCTTCAATATGTGTGTGAATGTTTTGCTAAACATGAGATACAAATATTTAAATATGCCCAGAATAAGAGCAAAACAATAATAATAATAATAATAATAATAATAATAATAATAGGTAGCCTATCATTGGAAAATGGAACGCTTATTTTGATGTAATCATATATATATATATAAGTAAAATTATAAAAAATTAGAAGTCATTTAGCACGTCCTCATTACCCAGGTAAATGTTTATGTTAAATATAAATACAATTCACAGAGGATGAGAGTCTTTGAATGTCTACAGTTTGTCCTCTCAAAATAAAACCCCACATCAAGCTTTTTTATATATCTGTAACATAATTATTTAATTAATTAATTGTTCACCTCTTATTGGTCAAATGTCACTGTCAAGGTCCGCCTCCTCCCGCCCACCGGCAAGTGCTTGATCGTAATTGGTGGAAAGCGCTGTCAATCACGCCCGTTGCCCTGGCAACTGAAGTCTGAGGAACAGCTTGGCTGTCCGTGGACTCGGTCTAGATGAAAGCAGACGAGTCGAGGAGAGCAGCAGTCATAAACTCAAGCGTTTTTGCTCACTTGGGAGGAGTTTTAATCGAAGATGAAAGTATTAACAGTTAATACTTTAGACACGTTTCCGTGTTGTTAACGTTAGTTGAAAATTCAGCGAGAGGAGCTGTTTTATTAAGTGAGGTAGCGTGATAGTATTCGTTTCACTGCATCAGGTCACCTGTTGGACTGGGCTTGCAGGTAAAAACGGGTATCGGTACACAAATAAAACGAATCGACGTTTATAACAGCCGTTATGATTCCTGAATGTCCACGAACGACCGAGCCCAGAAGCCGCATTCGGTGTGAATCCGGTCAGAACCGCTCCGGTTTGCTGCGCGAGATCCGGACCGCTGTCAGGAGCGAGCCGTTCACCGAGCGCTATGACGTCATCCCCGGCAAAGAGCTGGGCAGGTGAGGCGCAGCTTTACCTGTCTACCTGTGCTCGTGTCAGTTCTGTTATATTTATCTGATGCATGCGCTCTGAACCTCTTGTTTGGATTTAAAAGTACTAATTTCGAAGTCCGGCCACGAATACATGCTCAGTAAATGTTTGGCATGCTAAATCCTACTTGTATTATAGTCTGGATGTGTGCATTGAAAATGTTTCCATTCTAGAGTCCCTGTGTGTTCTTGTATGCATCTGCATTCTTAAATGGATAGTGCATGTATTGCTTTCACTTCATACAGTTCAATATGTGTACAGTATTTAAAGTCTTGCATCACAGTATTTTGAACATCTACACTGCTTCAGAGTGTGATTTGGCATTGCTTTTTTTCAGATACTTATGTATTTTGTATTCCTTTTGGGTACGAGTGTGTAAAAAGTCATGCAATTGCATATGAAAACCCCTTTACGTGCAATGCAAACTGATTCAGTTGTTAATGAAAATAAATTCATTGTAATTGACTTGCATATCAGCCTAATTTTCTGATGTCCATCTGTTCTACATGAGCAGACTTCGCTTTTTCCCAAATTGTTGCATGCATTTATTGCTTGCATTGCATACAGTCATGCATTTTAAGTCATGCATTACAGTGTTTTTACGTGCTTTACAGTATGATTTGGCATTGCTTTGTCTTTTAGATGGCTTTCAGATGCATTCATCTGCACATTTAATGAAACACCCAATAAACTTTTGCATGCGTTGCATTTATAGCTGGATCTCATGATTGGAAAACAGAGCCACTGTTTGATGGCACACTGCGTTGATGCCAGGGCTCAGTGGTTTTTAAATCAGTGAATAAGTCATACAGGGCACTGTATTGTTGGTGGTGTTCTTTTGCCAAGTCGCTGTAAGACTTCAGCACTATGAAAACACTGCTCTGATTTCACTGCGCTTACTCTTGTTTGTACCGAGGAGGATATGCAGCGCAAGCACAAAAAGATTTGGGCATGTGTAGTATTTTACGCCTGTGCAAAACTAGCAGAAAAGTCACTTTAATTTCTCCAATATCAACAAAGTGCTGATTGAGATGGATAGGGACATTTAGCTTTTGCATGCTGGACAGAAGTTTGAACTCAAGTTGAACGCTTGTGAAATACAAGTTACAATATTTGAATTGTTTATTATCTGCTGTATTAGTCACAAGACAAACTCTGGAACATGTAATATCAGCAGGCTATCTGATCCGTTTATTTGCAAAACACATCAGGATTAATGGACAGAGGTTTGAAAGTGCAACTGTCTGGATGTTTGCCACCGCCGTTTAGGCCAAGCCATTTCATCTGAGAACAATGAAGCACAAATCAGTGAGTAGTTCATGTCCAGCGTGTTTTACCGATCTCTCAGCCCGTTTCCCAAAGGTGAACTTGAATGGTTCAGGATTTCAGTGACGTGATTGGCTGCTCCAGCTGGTTTTATTTTGATGGCTGTGCTTGTGGAGACGAGACATTTTTATTATTTACTTTAGCGAGCGATTTCAGTGGCTGCCAAAGGGTTATGATTCTGATTTTCATTCTGAGACTCACATTAGCCTAGATATTGGCATTTATAGTCTAGTTAGCCCAAATCTTACACGAGGACAGCTGCTTGTACCTGATTTATTTTAAGAGTCAAGACTATAAGTATGTGAGTTGTGTTACAAGTTGCACTGAAGAAATGATAATTTAGACCCAAGCACTGCTGAAACTGGATGGATGATGCAAACATCAGTTTGTTTTTGATGCAAAGCAAATATTTTAAGTAGCAGAATGCTTGACGTTGTGTAGGTTCTAGACTAACAGGTTTAGACTGATTGGCATACTGACGGTTTTTAAGAGTGGTAAAAATGTTGAACTTGTGAAGTACTAAATGGATCAGGCATCATTCATAAAACATGAGGAATAAATCAGGATTAGTAAAGGCAGAGACTCCTAATGATAATTAATGTTTTTGTGCTCATGCTTCATTATTTGTAGGCTCAAAATTGATACGAATCAAATTTGTTAAGGATGCCCAATATCTTAGTTGAGGTTTTGTGCCGATATTGGATATTTTATTGTGTTTTGTCATAGTGCTGGGCGGTATACCGGTTCATACCGAATACCGGTGTTTATTTTTGTTATGATATGAATTT